ACATCAAGTATTACAAGTCCCGTTGTTCTTTTTTTGTATTATTCTCCTATTGGTACTTAGTCTAAGACGTATAAGACGCTCATATACTTTATTAGTATTATTTGAATGATATTTTAGCCGTTTACCTCTTTTCGAGATGAGAACCAGTTTGATATTATTCTAGGACTGTTAATAAAACATAAAAAGGGCTAACTAAAGATATTCATTCCACTATTACTGACGCAGACGTTGCGCTAAAAATTACAGCGCATCGTCAGAAAAACGATTAAAAACAGAAGTGGTTTTTGAACACTGCCTCGAGAAAGACTCCCATTTCCACTGTATGTGGCCAACTAAAAAATAAAAGGTAAAGTTTATTCTTAAAGCGTGACATCACATTTAGTCAGTTTTATATTGTACAAAATATAATATCACGTGTGCAACTTAGTGAAGCAATATCATGGGTTACCTCAAAATTTTCCGAAAAATATGTATATTACGAATTTTAATGGGACGTATCTCGCTATGGTGGCGGAAGGGTAACAACCACCCTTATACTACCCTACTGCGTATATTATGGAAAACCCCGTTTCTTTAATTAAAATGGGCCTCGAAATTGGTCATAGTGTCTATTTACCTTTTTTGTTTTAGGTAACGTCGATGGGATGTTTAAAAAAAATTGGGAAACCATATCCCGATTAAGTGATGGTTTCCTGACACAGTTTTTTAGATTATTTATTGTTTCAGCCTTTACTTGATGAAAATCCATTTAATCTTGAAAGAGTAAAACCAAATTTGGTAGATTTCACACTTTTATTTTAAAAATATAAAAATTTAAAAAAAAAACACTAACATGACATATGTTTCGAAGTACAACTTCTTTTTCAAATGTGACTATTTTAAATTGGGTATCCAATATATACGAAATAATTTAACAAACTAAAGTACTTAAGAAAAACATCAATAAAATTACAAAATAACTATTTAAAGTAAATTAGGGTACTTAGGTAATTATAATATCAATCAGATAACAATAAGGTAGCACATTACCGGGATTATCTCACAGAAAACTAGGAAAGATATTTAATAAGGGTGAATTATTAATATCTAATTGATCATTTAGTAAGTTATCTGAATTTTTAAATCTATTGTTATCTGATTGATATTATAATTACCTAAGTACCCTAATTTACTTTAAATAGTTATTTTGTAATGTTATTGATGTTTTTCTTAAGTACTTTGGTTTGTTAAATTATTTCGTATATATTGGATACCGAATTTAAAATAGTCACATTTGAAAAAGAAGTTGTACTTCGAAACATATGTCATGTTAGTGTTTTTTTTTTTTAATTTTTATATTTTTAAAATAAAAGTGTGAAAATCTACCAAATTTGGTTTTACTCTTTCAACAGTTTTTTAGGTTGCTATTAATTAACTGTTACAACAATACCTAAGTAACATAATAAGCAAGTATTGATGTAACTATTAAATCATAGCCTTCTAGGATCCTATAAGCTATGGTATAGATATTGCTCTTTTTTGAACACACACTACCATTTTTGTATCGACAATTAAAAATGTTATGAAATCATCCCCGTCATGGGAATGACTTCATATTGCAAACCCAAGTTTACCCAGTAGCCATAGGATTTACCACTTTTGTTTCAGATATCGTCGCGTAGATATTTAAAAATATTATGAAATCATACCCCGCTAAGTGGATGATTTCATAACACAGCTTCTCATTCCCTATTAATTAATATTTACCATTTTTGTTTCAGATAAGGTGACAGTGGTAGTTAAAAATGAAAGCTATTAAAAAACTCTAATTAGTGATATGTGTTGCTTGTGTTCTCTAAAAACTAATAAAGGATTTATGAAAACTCAATCACAGACTTTCTACAACATCCTTGCTGAAATTCTGGTGAAAATCAAGAAATGGGATCCGCAACAAGAGAAAGATTTACCTATACTTACTTTAACAGCAGACCAGTTTACATCGGATAAAATAAAAGATTTGAAAGTGAAATGGTACCTTGAATGTTATAAAAAAATAATAAATAAAGATTCTTTGGGACGAGTGTAAAAAAAGTATAATACCCAGCAATTGGGAACTACAACTAATATTCAGGAAACCAATGATATTGTTTCTGATATGCCTTCAGGTGCAACAACATCAAAGTTTACAAGAAGCAAAACAACACTCTATCTAAAAAAAGAGGTTTGTATATTTTTGCGACAAAGAAAGTACTAGGCGTCATGTATCTTATGAGTCGTCGGGTCATTTCTTAAAAAAAGTAGTTAAAAACGTAGTTGTTTCCATAAGATTATCTGAATGCATTAGTTCAAGGGATGCTTACGTTGTAGACATATGCTATCATAAAAACTGCTGGAAAAACAGTGTCACTAATGTTTTAAGGATAAATAGACAGAAAAGTAAGGCTGACGAATCATCGAAAGTAACTGGATCATCTGTTGAGTTTCTTAATTGTAAAGGGTGGTCCAACTAAAACGCACGATGTTAATTGTAAATAAAACAAAAAGTTTTCAGAGAATTATGTTAATATTTTTTATTGTGATAGGATATATGACAATTATGTGTGAAACAAAATATCGGCCAAATGCTCGCCACGGCTTCGGTGGCATACCTCTATCCGATGGTCCATATTTTCAATGACTCTGAGACATAATTGAGGTTCAATGTCGTTAATATGCCGAATTATCTCATTCTTTAGCTCTTGAATTGTTCTTGGCTTATTGACGTACACTTTTTCTTTTAAATATCCCCAAAGAAAGAAGTCCAACGGTGTCAAATCACATGATCGTGGCGGCCAATTAACATCGCCACGACGTGAGATAACACGGCCATTGAATTTCTCGCGCAAAAGAGCCATTGTTTTGTTGGCTGTGTGGCAAGTGGCACCATCTTGTTGAAACCACATATCGTCCAGTTCCATATCATCAATTTTTGGCCACAAGAAGTCCGTTATCATCTCGCGATAGCGAACACCATTCATAGTAACTGCTTGGCCGACCTCATTTTCGAAGAAGTAGGGCCCGATGACGCAGCCAGCCCATAAGCCGCACCAAACAGTCACTCTTTGTGGATGCATCGGCTTTTTAACAATCACTCGTGGATTCTCATTTGCCCAAATGCGGTAATTCTGCTTGTTAACGAATCCACTGAGGTGAAAGTGTGCCTCGTCGCTGAAGATGATTTTCTTCGTAAAGTCGCCATTCAGTTTTGTTTGTTCAACTAACCATTCGGCATATTGACGACGCTTGAAATGGTCAGTAGGCTTCAGCTCTTAAGTCAATTGAATCTTGTAAGCGTGTAAATTCAAATCTTTATACAAAATTCGCATCAATGATGTTCGTGAGATTTTCAACTGTTGGGCACGAGGTTGAGTCGAGGTTGACGGCTCTTCTGCCACACTATCGCGAACAACAGCAATTTTTTCCGTAGAACGAACTGGGCGAGCATGCACAGGTGTTTTCACATTTCCTACAGACCTGGTTTGCTGAAATTTGTGCACAATTCTCCCGATTGTGGACACATTTGGTCGATTATGCTGACCAAAAAAATCACGAAGTGCACGAAATGCATTTTGATTTGAACGCCCATTTTCGTAAAAGGCTTCAACAATCTTAACGCGCTGCTCAATGGTGTACCTCTCCATGGTTGAATTTGTCAAACACTGAAACAAAGAAATGTCAAATTAGGTTGGGCAAAAAACTTAACGTTAAGGTGTGACGCACAATTTATATCGTGCATTATGGTTGGACCACCCTTTATAAAGTCGTTTCTCAGAAATGAAAATATAAGCTGTATGGCTGACTGCACAGCACTTACCTAAATATATGTCAATTTAACGAAATAGACATTAAAACCACGCAACTTATGTCTTGTTTGCTCATTTAAGTTCTCACGAGGAGACCGATACTAAAATAATATTGCATTCTTTAGATGTATCTAAAAAGGAAGCAAAATAATTGTAAATATTTTCACCAGACACGGATGTATTGGTACTTGCTTTGAGACGGATGTCCTTATTACCTAATGACAGTCTATTTATTTGAATTGGTTCTAGCTGTCGTGAAATATCATTACACCCAATATACAAACACCTCGTTCAGTTAAAAGCTGAAGCAGTTTCAGGTCTCCATGTCCTCTCGGGTGCCGATTTCACAGGAAGTTTCAAAGGATAAGCTAAAATTAGTTTTTGGAAGAAGTTTTAAAAGCAACCTCATCCACCCTTCAGGCGTTGATATCTTTGAGCAAAAGTGAAACGTTAGGTGGATTTGATATCGAGCAGAATTGTTTATGTGTTCATTATTAATTAAGATAGTGGTTGTTCACGCAAAGGCAAGGGTCAACCGAAAATATGCCTCTTACTCGAGTAATTTTAAAAGCGGCAGCAGAGAGATGCCACTATTAGTGCATTAAGTGGAATCAGAATTCACAAGCTCAGCCCAATTTACCACCACCAACAAATACGGTTGAAAATTTGACAGTGAAGGATTAGAATTAGGACCAATTATGTGTAGTCTTTCCTGCGTACCTAAAGAAGCAGTTAATCTAACAAAATGTTTCTTTAAAAAAATAATTGTTTTTAAAGATGCAAATGTTATGCACAAAGCATATTTTGCACGGAAATGTGTGAATGTGAAGCCGATCCAAAATGTTGCTTAAATACTAAAGCAGATAAAAAACAACCTATGACACTGATTCTAACTATGCTCTGGATAGCGAATTCGTTGACGACTAATTTTTTTTTCTTATTTATGTAAATTCTAAAATAGGCTGCTATTTTATATTTTTTGGACTTAGCTGTAACACATAAAATCATATTACTTTTGTCTTTTCAAATATATATTAATTTGAAAATAAAAAACTTTTTGGAAGTATTTTGAACCATTTTTTATAGCTAAAATATATTTTTTTACGTAGAGTTGGTTTAAGGATACCTTTTTCCCTTTTACCATCTCTACATGTCACGCCCAATGATATTCGTAATCTACACATTTTTCCAAAAATTTTTATGTGTAACACTATATTGCTTCACAAACTTGCACACGGAGTACTAATTTAAAACTGACTAATTCTAATATTAGGGCCTAATAATTGGTACTATTAATTTATTCATTGGTCTTGTGAAATGAAAAGTAATTTTTTTTAAATTTAATATCATTTATTTATTATATCCATCCTCTTCTACCATATTCATATACCATATAAGCAATTTTATCTCTAGCAATAATTGGCACATCTTCTTTTAGAACATTATCTGTATCAACATCAAATTCATTCTGATACTTCTTTCCAAATACAACAAATGTAGTCATATACATAATATCCATGAAATTGGAAGGAGCTGCAAAATCCATTTCTTCCAAAAATTTTTCAAAAGTAAAAAGATTTGTATTACAATTTAAGTTTCGCAAACACTCTATGAATTCATTGTGGTAATATTCTAGAAGACTCTCAAAATAATTTTGAAGGATCTTCGTTTGAACGCTAGTCCATAGGAAAAATAATACGTCAGTTGCTGGAGATTGATAAAAAAATAATTGAAAATCCACTAATTTATTTTTTGTTAATTTTCCATCTTCGGTAATTTGCATTGTATTATTGACCCAAACATCACAGTGTACTAAAGTTGCGAAGGGTTCTCTAGGTGGTAAATCGAAAAACTCATTTAATTTCTCCCTCATTTTTGAAAATTTATTTTTTAAACTCTTCACGTATGGTCGACATTCTTCATAATCTTCGAGAATTTCAAAAAATACTGCTAACTTTTGTTTATAAGGGTTTTCGTTTTCGTGCGGTGGAGGCGGAATTGCTTTTTGGCAATATTTTTTTATTTTCTCTTCGAACTCTTCTCTTTTTGTAAATTTTAAAGCCAAGGCTGTAGCGTGCAGTGTAGCAAGATCTTTTAAAATTAATTTAGCGCCTTCTAAGTCAAATCCAAGGTAACGGTCTAAATTTTTGTAACCTGAAATTCAAAAAAGATTAAAAACACACAAATAAAATAAAAATATAATTGAAATGTATTTAAGTCATCACCTATTCTACAAGGTTCTCTTATTTATCTGTTATTAGATGTCAATTTCAATAATTAACAACATACGTGTACCTAAGTTACTTCTGAAATTTTATAAAGAAAATCTCAAAGCCATGTGTTTGCTACTCATAATATGAGTAACAGTTTTCCTCCGGAAAACAACTACTCCTTTAGCTAATAGCGCAAAAAGCATTAAATTACAATTACAAATGAAAACAGCAGAGAGAAAATTATTTACAAGAATTTTAGGATAATTAACAACCTCATTAAAATTGAAATTTACCAGGCATCAGTTCATTTTTATTTATTTTCTATTGTGCCTACAATTTGGCCCAAATGCTTTTTTCGACGTTCTTCGCCTTGACGAATAAAATTGCCCTGTCTCCTAGATACATAACAAGTAGCAAGGTGCCGTCATTTTAAAGTGATTTTTTGGGTTTACTCGTCAGAAACATCACTATCCCAAATAATGACGTTACTTTGACGTCGTTTTTGCAACGTTAATTACACGTCAATACAGACTCGTCATTATGACGTAATTTTTTAGTATTAATTTATTCGAAATACAATATCCTAATCAGTAACATGTATTTGACGTCGCATTGATGACATAGAATAAACTTCACTTAGAATTCGTCATAATTACGTTATTTTTTCGTATATTTCTGGCAATGTCAATTGTCAATTGTCAATTATCAATTGTCAATTGTCAATTGTCAATTGTCAATTGTCAATTGACAATTGTCAATTGTCAATTGTCAATTGTCAATTGTCAATTGTCAATTGTCAATTGTCAATTGTCAATTGTCAATTGTCAATTGTCAATTGTCAATTGTCAATTGTCAATTGTCAATTGTCAATTGTTGTTTCCTCCATCTTCATGATTCTCGTGAGTGACAGTCGTGACCTTGTGAACGTGGTGCATTTTTAAATTGTACTTTATTGAATAAGATGTTTTAGAAAAAGGTTTTGGTCGCCTTTATAAAGAAATATATAAAGAAATATAATATAAGACTGGTGAGTAATGTAATAGTTTTATTTTTTGAATATGAGTTCTTTCAGGGTATTTTTATAATAATTTATTTAAAAATAAAAAATTTGTAGGGGGTCACTTGATTTAAATACCTTTTATCATCTACAATTTTAGGTATGTTGTATCAGTTCCTCTAATATTCTTTTGTCATTTTATTCCTTTTGGTTTCTTGCTCATCACTTTTTTATTTACCGGTGTAATTTATTTTTTATAATATATTTTTCATGTGTTTTTTGGATTAAATAAATATCTTTCATTTTTAATAATTCCATACAACCTTGGGACACACAATATAGACGTCAGTTAGACGTTAGGTAGATTCGTGATAATAACGTCAATTTGCCTAGCTTAGGACACCCAATATACACGTTGCTTTACCGTGATGTCGATTCGTCAAAATGACGATACGATTAGTCAAAATGACGATACGATTAGTCAAAATGACGATATGGAATGACGTCATTTCGCTGTGACATTCTCACGTTACGATAACGTTATTTTCACGTAACGCACACCAAAAAATCACGTCATAATGACGGCATGATGTTGCATGGGATATTAAATAGCGACTTGGGCTAAATCAAATTTCCCTGAACTACGAGCAATTACTACTAGAGGGAGCGTGAAACGAGTTTCTAGGCGATTGTTGTGTTCGCAACATAAGAAGAGGAAGTGAGGAAGCAAACACAAGGGAAAAGGTAAACAACCCCTCTTGTTCAGTGGAGTACCATTTCTCTGTAAGATTGCCCAAAATTTTTAATTGTAAAAAAAATAAAAAATTCGCCAATTTTAATATTTTTAAAATTTATACCCTTTTATTGTAGCGTTTTATTATTCTAAGTTTTAAAAGATACATAAAATATTATAAATTAATGAAATATTTAAATTTACTGGTACAATTATGTACAACTATTCAAAATAGATTTTAATGTATTAGGTGTTGCCTATTCCGGCTCAATCACACTTAACTATATCTTGGTTGTGACTACTGTCCTGTACATCAGAAATTATAAAATAAATCCACTTTTAAACTGTTTACTAATAAAAATCAACATTTTAAATATTTAAATAAAACAATATTCATTGAATTTAAACTAAATTAAATCATTATTTTTTCTCTAATATACGGATTTCGTGTAAGCTATGGATCCACACAGTTTGATCGGTTCAATAGCCATGGCCGATTCTTCAGCAATTATAGCTGATAGTTGGTTGTTCGGAAATTGACGAAAGGTATAAATCCTTTCCTTTTCGTTTTGAATTAAGCAGGTGAAGACCGTTAAAAAAAGTTTCAGGAAGGTGTCGTGTGGTACGATATTTATTTAGTTTTCATTAATAAGTGAACTTTATTAGGGTCCTAGTATTACCTGTACTGTTGGCTTTGGTTTTTCTGAGTACGAAGGACGAGCCCATGTTGATGTCGTCCATTTTGTTGATGGTGTAACCCAATGTCCACGACGCGGTCACAAGGCGAACATTTATATTATATGCAATTTGGTTCTAGATGATGTTCACTGTTAACATCCCAGGAGTAAAGTCCTGCGGAATTCCGAATTCCATTATAATATCTAGGAGTTTGGAGAAGAACTCATTGAATTTTTGTACCGGCTTGCTGAGGCCAGAACATTTAATTGTTATCCTGAACTGTGGAAAACCATGAGGTCTGCTGATTCTCAATCCCGATCATGTTTTACTGATAAACCCTCAGTACTACCTAATTGTGTGGACGAGTGCTTGTGCACTGTCCAGGCATAAGCAAAACTTCAGTGTGGTCCGTAAGAACTTTAATAATTTTATTTTAATGATATAACTTGCAATGAAGTGATGCTTATTTTTTTATTTTAATCATGCTATGATTTTTGTTCTACACTTTTAAAGTCTAGAACATAGCATGTATATTTTCATTTTATAAATATTTTCCTTTTCATATGGTATAAACCTATTTATATTTCTTTCAAGTCAAATGTGTTTGTACACCACAGGTATAGATCTATGTCCTAGGTAAACGATTTACCATACTTTGGGTATCAGTTGTATTTATATTTAATTAGGTATTATGTACTGAGTTTACATTGCCACATTATTTGACTCAATTTATTTATTAATATTAACTAATAACACTGAACTTGAACTTCTTGTGAATATTCCATAATCTAGGAGAAACAGATGTTTCCCTGGTATTAAGTATTAAAATTTGACTTTCTTTTTAAGATTAATAAGCATACTTATTATATTACTGATTTATCAATACCATTCGGCTAATGAAATGTTGAGGTTTATTAATTGGTTGAGGTTGGTAGTTAGTTTATATGTTCCAGGTTGTGAATATCACGTGTTTTCATGGTAGGTTTATAAAACTCGCAGTTTAATTCAGTTTATTACAAGTAAATTGTGCATCTAAAGATTTATTTTCCAGGCGCCTATCAGCTGAAACACACGTGCATATATTAGGTAAACTGCCTGTGTTTGATCATTAATGATTGTAAAATAACGTTTATTGGAGATGCTTTGTATGTACGATCTAAAATTTATTTTAAAGCTTGTGCTCAGCATGTGAATAGTACATAGTTCAGTACATGCAGTACACAAATATTTGATATAACTACCTTCTTCTGTCCATTTAAATAACATAATTAAATAACAATTTTCGAAAATCTTTAATTGGAAGTAGGCACAAAAAATGTAATTATGCACCCTTTTTAAAGTCTAGGAAATATAAAGTTACCTTTCTGGAAAATATCCTTATTTGCTTCGGGCGTGAGAGCAGCGCCAATTTATTTTTGTACTAATGGACTATTTTTGCCTATACTGACAATAAAATTTTTTAATAGAATCCGTAAGTATATATTATGTTAGTTTTTTTAGAATATAGATTTGTACAACATGTAAAACTATAAATTTAGTATTATATATTTTTATCGTTTAAAATAAAAAAAATCTGATGTGTCCAACACATGACTTTCCTATCTAGTTATTGTAGGCTTTTTCCGGTTATTTTGTACAATATCTTGCAGTACCTCTATAAATGTTTAGAGAATAAACTAAATATATACATTTTCCACATACATCTAACATTTTTCTATAGATATTCATTGAAAACGAAAATACGGAAAAATTTAATTTTAGCGCTTTCCCTCCAATTTTTCCATTACGGTCCATTTTAGAAAAATCATGTAAATAACAAAAATTATAGAGATCGATATCGCAAACAACTTTTATTTTAACAATTTTCTTAACAATCAGATTTTGCACAATTTGGTATAAAACAAAACTTATAGATATTAATATTATAAGTAACTTCTATTTGAAGAATTTTCTTCTCCAAACGTAAATAACATATATTTCATAAAATATAAAAACAGCCTCTCATAAAGTACCCCCCTCCCCCAGATGTTCCGACTTTGTCCAAAATCTAATAATTTCATCTCAGGCCGAAATAAAACTTAAGTTTAAAATTTAATGTTTTTTCCTTTGTCCGTTTTTGAGCTTTCTTCAATATTCGAAAATTATACATTTTGTCAAATATCTCGAATACGGTCTATTTTAGAGAAATTATGTATAAAATAAAAATTATAGAGAATTACAAATATTACAAACAACTTTTATTTAAAAAAATTTTTTTTTTAATAATTTTTTTACAGTTTGTCAAATTTTCTCGAGTACGGACCATTTTAGGAAAATTTTGTATATAATAAAATTATAGATATAAGTAATTGTTATTCAAAAAATTTTCTTCTCCAAACGTAAATAACATATATTCCATAAAATATAAAAATGACTACCTATAAAGTAATCCCCTAGATGTTTCGACTCTGCCCAAAATCTAATCAGTTCACTGGAGGCCGGAATAAAGCTTAGGTTTTAAAATTAATGTTTTTCTTTGTACTCGTTTATGAGTTATCGAGGACACACACACACACACACACACACACACACACACACCCACGCACGCAAGCAAGCACACACACACACACACACACACACACACACACACACACACACACACACACACACACACACACACACACACACACACACACACACAAAACACACACACACACACACACACACACACACACACACACACACACACACACACACACACACACACACACACACACACACACACACAAACACACAAACACACATACACACACACAGACAGATAAACTCGAGGTCGAAAAAAATCATGAAAAGATTAGGTATATTTAATAAAAATCAATAATAAAATAAAGGCAGGCAACAGTATTTACGGGAAAATGTATAAGAAGTTGCCTAAGTCTAATAAGTTATCTTTGAAGAATTAACCTATTCTTTTAAAATAAATAAAAACACTTTTAAATAATAGCGTGAAGTTAAAATGTATAAGGATTGTTATTTATATTTCCATTTTTGTTCGAACGACAACAGAATTAATTATTAAAACTGGTCTCCTATCAGTAATTCACAAAATTGCATTCTAGCCACATACAATAATCAAAGGCAGAAATCTAGTCCTTAAAAAACATTTAAGATTAAAGGGATATTAAAAAACAACGTAAAATGATATTTATTGTTTATTTAAAACCTTTCAAGTTTCTGAAGTGTACTATTGCCAGTATTACTGCTATTATAAAAATAAAGGTAATTTTTCTTCTTATTGTACACATATACATTTATTTCTTTGATTTAATTTCCACTTTGCTACTGAAAATTTTTTTGCCACTATTTTTACAATTTTCAACACAGCAACTCCGGTTGCTTATTGTATTTCTTTTACCTACTTTTTGAAAAAAAAAAAAAAAAAAAAAAAAAAAAAACGTAAAATGTATACGTCTGTTTGATATGCCAAAATTACAACATATCGCCCTAAAATGCACGAATTATCCGCAGCTAGCGCTAGTATCGCTTCTGCTTCGCCTACCATGACTTCGCTCTGAGCGAATAGAAAACCCAAAAAGTATGTTAAATTATAAGGTATCATAATTATAGGATTTCTCTTTTGAAGAGATTATGTTTTAAATACCGGGTCGGTGGTGTAGCAGTCTAACGCGCTTATATTTATTTATAGGGGCAAGTTTATGGTCCTTCGAATCTCAACCAGACTATGTGGATTTTTAATTAAATTGCATGGTTCGGTATAGGATTTGATGTGTGCCGTATTAAAATAAATTTAATTTCTGTTGATATGACATGCAGATTATAAAATCGCCATGCATTACCGTCTCGATGATGGTGGGTGATGTTTTTCCGGGTTTTCCTCACCTGTAAGTCAAATGGCACCATTTATCGTCCTTAAGTTGCTCTAGAGTGCCACGGCAAATAATAATAATAGCCGTCCCTTTCCCTGAACAAGCTCAGCTTTTGGGGTTACAATTCACTCGTAAGGGGGTGAATTAGGGAGAGTATTATTATTAATATATAATTTTATTTTATTTTTTTAGGCCACTCAGTATACTAGAAATATTGCGATATCCTAAAACTAACCTCAAAATTTGAATCCATGTTGATTTATTAAATATGTCTGTCTCTAACAATAAGCAAAACATGAATATCACTTACCTTGGACATTTAAATTTCCTAAAACCAAAACCACATTATCATCAACTACATCCCCTCCATTTTTATTTATCCTAGCCCCATAAAATTCTGGAAAAAAGTCCATAATCTCATCTAAGCCTCTTTCTCTTTGAAAATTGTGCAAAGCAGGTACAACCTCTTTATAAAAATTAATTTCGTTCCTAAAAGCCATGGGAAATATTTCCGAGGCAAATGCATTAGAAGTTTTCACACATTTGGCAACTGCATGTAAAGTTTCTTCGGCTGATTCTTCGTCTTTTTTTAATTTCAAGTCAACTTTTAACATAACACTTAAAAAATTTTCGCCTGGTTTGGTCAACGGCGAAATTTTTGGTTCTATAATTTTGTACTTATTCTTAAATGTTTCCTTTAAGAATTCTCTAACTTTTTCAGATTCCATTATTAAATATTTTTTAGGCAATATCAAAATTGTTTTTACGTTCCAATTTATGATATTTCTACATCTATTTTAACATGTTTGCTTAGTACAAATGAAGATAGTATAAAAGAAGTGTTTATTTAATTTGTAATGGGTACTTCATCACACACTTATAACGTCTATTATCTAATTGAATTAGTTAAACGGAAAATAACTGCTATACAGATTGTCAGTAACAATATTTAATGGTGTCTTCTATGAAATACTTGGTAATATAGTTACTAACTTAACTACGTTTAAGAGTGTAAAGTTCAATGGACACCAGTTCAGTTTTTAAACACAATAACAACTTTGCGATATTTCTTTCTGGATGTCGCTGATAAACTAAATGATTTTATACCAGGGATGTAGGAAGGGGACAATGTGTTTTACAGGTTTATTTAGTTACCAAACTAAAAGGATACGGTTACATTGGATGCGTACTTTGACGACCATAAAGTCGGATGTACACCGACGACTTTAGTCATACGACTTAAGACCCAACTAATTTTGCATTATCGATTTCTCATTCGAGGTCATACGCGATGTCACTAAACATTTCTCCTTATTTATCTAATAGTGAACTTATAACTATACCTTACCGTGCAAATTTTTGAGAATTTTTTTTTTAAATGTGAGTATTTGTACAGTGTCTTACGAGAAAGTAAGACCTCAACAACAATTCTCGAATTATACTATTATTTATTGGTTAGATGGAGTAGAAAAAAACTAAAAATAAGGTTCTTAAAATATTTAGGTTTTGTTTTTTACAATAAAATATATAGGTTATCATGAAATTTATTGAGAAATTAATATTAAAAAAAAATTCAAGTAACCTAGTTGAAATTTTTTTGTGATTTTTTAATATTAATTTCTCAATAAATTCCACGGTAACCTATATATTTTATTGTAAAAAACAAAACCTAAATATTTCAAAGACCTTATTTTTAGTTTTTTCTACTCCATCTAATCAATAAATAATAGTATACTTAATTATAATTCGAAAATTGTTGTTGAAGTCTTACTTTCTCATAAGACACTGTACAAATACCTACTCACATTTTTAAAAAAAAAATTTCTCAAAAATTTGCACGATAAGGTATAGTTAAAAGTTTACTAATAGATAAATAAGGACTTCAACTATTAGAAAAAAATTAATTTTAGTCATAATCTAATATTTTTTATTTAACATTGGTGGCGAAAGGACCTCCTTAATTTGATTTATTCCGTGTTGAGTTAGGATTTAATTTGTTTTGATTGAGAAATACTTTAATTTATTCTTGTTAGAATACACCGTTCTATATAAATTTCATTTTAGTTTATTTAAAGTCTTAACCGTTAAACAATTTTTTTTTATTCAATCGTAGATATAGTCGTATAGTTAATTTTTCCTACTATTGGAAATTTCCGTGAATAAATTATAAATTTCATTTTAGTTTATTTAAAGTTTTGACCGTTAAACAATTTATTTTTCATTCGATCGTAGATATAGTCGTATAGTTAATTTTTCCTACTACTGGAAATTTCCGTAAATAAATAATAAATTTCATTTTAGTTTATTTCAAGTTTTGAGCGTTAAACAATTTATTTTTTTTTATTCGATCGTAGATATAGTCGTATAGTTAATTTTTCCCACTACTGGAAATTTCCGCGAATAACTAATAAATTTCATTTTAGTTTATTTAAAGTTCTAACTGTTAAATAATTTATTTTTCATTCGATTGTAAATATAGTCGTATAGTTAATTTTTCCTACTACTGGAAATTTATGTGAATAAATTATAAATTTCATTTTAGTTTATTTGAAGGCTTAACCGTTAATTAATTTATTTTTCAGTTTATCGTAAATATAGTCTTATAGTCAATTTTTCCTACTGCAAGAAATTTCCGTGAACAAATAATACAGTTTATTAAAAACGTTATCCAATAAATAATTGATTGGAACTGTTTGGGAATTGTCAAATGTTTTGATTGGTTATATTTGTAGAATCGCGACGAGGCATTTTCTTTTGTTTTATTCTCCGAACTGCAAATTTTAAGAGAATTTAAATAGCATCATTCCCAGTTTGAAGCGGCTCGTGACTACGATCGCTTCATCCAGAGATAAGGTGTTATCCCGGCTATTAGTTCATTCTATATCTAAAAATTCATTTGCGTTAAGTCTCCGTTATTTCAACAGAACTAAAATAGTATCATTCCCCTGTCTGAAGCGGCTCGTGATTACGATCGTCTCATTCAGAGATAATGTGCTATCCCGGTTATTAGTTTATTTTCCGTCTGAAACCCTCATTTGCGTTAGTCTCCGTTATTGTAAGTGAACTAAAATAGTATCATTCCCCTGTCTGAAGCGGCTCGTGATTACGATCGCCTCATTCAGAGATAGTGTGCTATCCCGGTTATTAAATTTATTTTATGTAAAACTCCGTTATTTAATTACCATTAAATAGTATCATTCCCTAGTTTGAAGCGGCTCGTGATTACGATCGGTTCACTCAGGGATAATGTACTATCCCGGTTCTTAGTTGGTTTTACTTTCCAACCACTAGTGAGTAAACCTCTTATAGGATCCCGGTTTCAGCCCTGGAATTAGTATTATCCTGAACCTGTCTCCTCGCATTATCTGCAACCAATATGATATTTTGCTTTACTGAAGCATTCAATTACATTTGATTGTAAATGCCGATTAGACAATTTAACAGTTAATTTTTGCTACGACCGAAATAATACTTCTGAATAAAATAGCAAATTGCATTTTTAACTCAACAACAGAATAGACAATTCAATATTAAACTTTTACTGCGACCGTGAATTATAAGTATTGATTTCATTTTTTTTTCTTACGTCTGATTGAGACTACTCGAAAGTCATTTCCGCCCGTTTTGTTTGTCTATTTTTGTTCAGGATTTGTACATATTACCGTGAGGGTGAGCGTTGAAATAATTAATTTCTTTTTTTTTATTGTAAATAGTTAACCACAATATGTGTCAATGTTAACCGGCCGTATTACTGGTTGTTAATTCCTAAATTTATTTCCAACTTATATTTCAGCTAGTGATTAATTGTGTACCAGCCCAAGCAGCTATTAAAGCCCGTTACTTGTGCGACACTATTACCTGTGTCTAAGTGACCTTGATCCCTGGAATTTTTCATCTCCATCTGTAGCTACCCGAATACTTTCGACGCCGTTTCGAAAGTTCGTGGAGTAAACCATCACCAAAAATCTGGCGCTCGAGAACCGCCCGTAACCAGCGTCATTCGTAAGGAATCGTTTTCTCTGTGGCGAGAAAACCCCTTACAATAGTACCTGTAGTATACATTAGTATAGAAGGCGGGAAATGCATAATGCATAAATGCTTTTATTTCGGATTGAGGATAAGCCATACGGTCTAGGAATGTTTAAACTGCACCGGAGCACATTTAGTATCAAAAATAGAAAGTTTTTTGATTAAAATTTATTAAAAAGGTTTGGTTAAGATTCACAGCAATAAATTTGTTAGATTAAAAGAAATAAGATGGTTTTCACACACCACTTATTTTTATTTACTAAAGCCCATGTGACATGATCGCATGTTTGAGATCATTTCTGCACACAGAAATAATATCACACTTTTATTACTGCAGGCCCCAAATTTAAGTAAACAATTTGGGTCTGCTGGTCTGCTGGTCTGCAACGGTAAAATTTTTGATAATATTTCTGTGCGCAGAAATAATCTCAAAGATGTGATGGAGTCATACGGGCTTTATTTCATGTTTTAAATTTGGAATATAAAAAAGGACATTTTTTATATTTCTAGTGCTATCATATTTTGGATGATTATAGTGGTTTTTGATGTTGAATAACTACAACAAAATGAGCAAATCTTATTCATAAATATACATTGATTTATGAATGTTGTACTTTTATTAAAAAACGATTATTGCCATTGATTTGACCTTATTAAATTGATTTTTTAATTTTTTTTTTTAAATTGCTCTAAATGTTTGGTTATGGTGTAGGAAATAAAAAAAAACCCTTGTCTCTTATAGAAAATTACCATTCAGATAAATATTCTTCTCCGATAATTATAATAGGTACTTATGGTGTGTTTATAGAACTTGATTTAGTTTTAAGCATAATATTCTTGATAAACAGGGGCAGACGCTGCATTAGCATGGTGGAAGTTCGCTTGCAGGACCTTTATACATCGCTGTGGCTCGTTGAAAGAATCGTAATATCTACGCTTTAACCTTCATCAACCAGGTAAATAATACATATCGAAGTGGACAGTTTTGAAATTTTAAAAATCATCTTTTAAAAATGTTATTTTAAATAAAGTATTAAAATAATAATAAAATTTGTATTAAAATGATGTAAAATCCAATTGTAGGCGCAAGTAACATTTGGAAATAATCTTTTTAACGTATTAGATTTTATTATATTTAGTATTTTTTGATATATGACTTTTATTTCTAACTATAAGAATCAATTAACAGTGAAGTGTAACTAAGTGTAATGAAGAAAAAAGCTTAAAAATAAAAGTGTTTTATTTACAACCAGTTTTTTCTCGCATAATATTGAACAATGATATATAGTTTCTCTTTGGCCTCGAGGATAATCGATTTTCTGATTGCGTCTCTATGTCTTATATTACCAAAATTGAAACTAGCATCAAAATCTGGCGCTTTTTTTGGTCCAAAAACAATAAAAATTAGAAAAAAAGTAGCCCGAGCAAATACCCTTTTAGATTCTTGATTTAATTCCTCTTGGAAATTGAACCAGCTGAAAAATGTACATATATTAAACTTAAAAAATGTTTATTTAAAGGAAATAATAGGTATATTACTTTGTAGGGAATGATTGTTTTGAGGGAATTTAGATACAATTGAAGGAGTACCCCGAGAAATTTCATATTGAATTGTAAATTATCAATAGCTAAAATTCAGTAATAGTATTGTGACCTACCTAACCAAGATAGCTTCACAATTTATTACAGAAAATAACATTAATGTTGTATTTAAATTCCTTTATATAAATGATACAATCTTCTAGATACAATCAACATTATTTTTTTCTACATCCACATGGATATTAGCTTATCTACGCACAGATTGCCTTCAACTGAACGAATATATTTTATATCCATTCCAGCTAGTGAAAATACTGCAAAAAATTAAATCCACCAATCACACTTCATATTTTGATCAACCGACTGCTATTATTTTGAAAATTTTAAGTGACAATTATGTCAAACTAATTGTCAGTATATTTTTTGTTATTGAGATTAAACATACACTAAAACGAGTTATTCTTGTGTAAAATAATAGAATTTATATTTTTATTTCGCCAATAATTATAAATAATTTGTTTATTTAAATAAAATTATATAAATTCAATTTAATGGTATCCGGACAATTGCCCGAAAACAATTTCCCGAAAGACAATTCTCCGAAGACAGTTGCCCGAATGGACAATTTTCCGATACAAAATTGATCGAATGGACAATTGACCGAATAGACAATTTCCCGAAGAACAATTGCCTGAAAGAAGAATTAACCGAAAAATGTATTTTAGCGCAACTTTATAAATTTATAACGGATAGCGATTTATAACCAATATTTTCAGCACATGTACATGTTGTACTTTTTGACTAAAAATTTTGTAATCCCTCTTAATAAATAACATCCTAATGTAACCATAATTGGCTTTTAAATGTTGTTTAGAATGAACAATAAGTACACCCCATTAGTCTTAATACTATAATAATTATGGTTACTTGTTGAGCGACTCCAGGTAGGTATCTACATTAGAATTATATCCCGCTAATTCATATAAATACTGTACTAAAGGTTTTTATTGCTTATTTTCCAAACTCTGAGCAAGAGCTATGACACAAAATGGCTTTGGAGTTTGTACTTAGTGAAAAAGCTAAGAGTACATTATTGATCGACGGTTATCTTTACCAGAAAGATAAAGAAAATCAAAACATTTATTGGAAATGTGATTAATAGAAGAAGTTTTAATTGTAAAGCTCGTGTTATAACCTTAGAACATGCAGTAGTAAAAAGAAGTGGGACACACAACCATGTAGCGGATGCAAGGAAAGTGGAAAAAACAAAATTTCTCAATGGCATACGTGAAAACGCTACACAAACTCAAGATGGGCCACATAAACTATCAACTGCATCTGTTTAGCTACAGCTACAGCTGCCTCGCTTCCGAAAGTGAGCAGCATTAAAAGAACAATAAGGCATGTACGAAGTAATCAGCAAGCCGCTCCGGCTTTACCCCTTTACAGTAGAGACATTGCTTCTCCAGAAGAGTATAAACTAACAATTTTTACTATTTGATTCAGGCCCACACGATGATCGGTTTTTAATTTTTTTAATCAGACAAAATCTGTTTCTTCTGGCAAGGTCACAACACTGGTTTGCCGACGAAACTTTCAAAACTGTACTTCACCTTTTTTATCAGCTGCGATTCCTTTAGTATGCGCACTACTACATAACAAGGCAGAATAAACTTATGTTCGGTTACTTTCAAAAGTAAAAGAACTTTTGCCTGAAGCTTCGCCTGTAACCTTATTAACAGATTTTGAAAGCGGTATGATATGTGCTATAAGACAACAATATCCAGACTCAAGACATTGTAGGTGCTTTTTCCATTTTAGTCAATGTATCTTTAGAAGAATCCAGTCAGACGGTTTAAAAAGAAGGTACGAAACTGATGCAGATTTTGCTTTAAAGCTCCGATTATTGTTCCTACTGCAGACGTAGTGAAGGCATTTAAAACTATTTGCGAGCAAGATGTGTTACCTGCAGAAGCCCAGTCAGTAATTGATTATTATGAAGATACCTGGATCGTGCGTTCACAAAGAGGTAGACGACGTATGTCCTTATTTTCACATGATCTGTGGAATTGTTATGATGGAGTACAAGAAAGTTTGCTAAAAACAAATAATTCCATAGAAGGATGGTTTGAACAACAGATGTCCGCAGATCATCCAAACATTTGGAGATTTATTTAAGCCATTCAGCTGGAGCAGGGCTTACATGAACTTCAGATTGAACAGTATGTAGGAGACTTGGAAGGCCCTCCTACACGTAAAAAGAGATTGTGCAGAGCGGATTTTAAGTCTGGTAAATAATTACTATCCTTATGAATTTTTACGGGAAATAGTACATAATTTATCGTACTAGGATAAAGGAAATACATAAAAATATCAAATGCATAAATAAATTAAAAAAATAAATAAAAATCAAAATAAGTTGTAAATAAACAAAAACCAATAAAACGCAATTTTTTTTTTTAAAAAATAAACAATTTAAAAAAATTACAAATTGGATGTTTTATTCCAAGATCTAAACACGCCAGCGGTACGCTGCCAGTCCTAAACCTTACATTTTTTGGTTAATTTTCCTTTCGGGCAATTGTTCTTCGGGAAATTGTCTATTCTTTCAATTGTCCATTCGATCAATTGTGTTTCGGGAAATTGTCCATTCGAGCAACTGTTTTCGGGCAATTGTCCTAGATCCCCATTTAATTACGAGTATTAAAAAAGAAAACAAAAAAAACGCTTAGATGGTTCTGTTGTCAGCGTTCTTGTCTTCCATACGGAAGACCCGATATTTGCAGATTTTCGTTTGTGGCTCTTAGAAAAAATACACTGTACAATTCAAGTGGATTTTCCATATCGCATTTGGCTGACTGAGCACTCCCCATACGGCGTCGTGCTCAAATTTCGTCTTCGCGCGATATAGCTATCATATCCACTCTTGTTACACAAACTACTATAGTAGATTTGTTTTAATGACTATTACGTATAGTCTAGAAAAGAAAGGAATGCCGTAATTTAATTTGCTGAACGTAGTAGGGAAAGCCGGAGTATAACGAACAAATCGAACTACATTGCTTACATGTTTATTAATAAAAATATATATAATGTAATGAAATAAAGCAAATGGTAAGTTAACCACAAGTAAAAAATAAATCTCATATTTGTTCGATATGCCTCGATATGGGGACATAGTGAGCGCACGGAAAAGTTTCTTTGCATAACGAATTTTGTGTATTTATTTACAAAAATCACAAGCTTAAGTTTTTTTTTGGAATTTCCGATTAGCAGGAGGAACTAAATCCCACTCTGTTTGCGTGTTGGAGTCGACATATACGATCTGTCGGCGTCATGGCTTTGCAAACGCCTTCTTCTGCTTCTGCTCTCTTATTCTTGCTTCATATGAATATTCTTTTTCTTGTTACTCCTTACAGTTTTGCACTATATATACCCAAGAAAAATTTAACCGAAATATGTATATTTCTTATTTGTTTTTACCAGGGTCGAGACGGACTCGATCATAAAGAGCAGCTCATGTTGCGACTCCCATTATGCCTCGAGGGCCATGAATAATTATTCGCAATATTACTAAAACAGTTATAGGTAAACAATATTTTAATGAATGATTTGAGATAGCATGGTTTACTACTCATCACAGTATTTAAAGTATTGCCCAGTTTTGTAAGCACTTTGAGTTAATTGTTAATTATTTCACTTATGGAATAAACACCGCTTACGGCCATGAACAAGCCTTGACGAGACGGTGCAGCTGTATATGAGGAGGGAGGGCAATTGTAAATTGGCTCAAGTTGTGGTTGCGGGACTTACGTTTTTAGCAATGCTTTATGCTCCAGTGCCTGTTATGCCCCGGCTTTCCCTACGTGCTCAAGAAGTAGCAATTTTATTTGTACCTAATCCCTGAATGCTTATTTGTAGTTAAAATGAAAATTTTAATACATCTGTTCAGCCTAATAAAAGTTTTGATTTAGATTTACTGGTTTTTACTGTTATAAACCTTTTCTTTTGACAGATAAGTGAGAATTTATTTATTCGTATCCGTATGACGTAGAATACGGATAAGTAACACTTTCATTCCCTCTAAATTTTGCGTCTCTTTGATTTTAGGTACTGAAGTGTTACTTTTAATGCCAAGAGATTAAAAAAGTGTAGGTAATCCCACTAATCCATTAATTAAATTTAATTCGTTTAATGTTAAAGTCCAACAATTTTGTCAGAAGGTAAAGGTTTATTTTTATTTTTTAACAAATATAACTTTTTTCATTTCAAATTTAATCTACTAAGTGCGTTTAGTCCATTTTATACGCCGTGACCTTATTTAAATTATATAAACCTATTTTGCAAAGTACGCCTATAGAATGTAATGTTATATCCCTACTTTTACTCCACTTCTCTTTTATTCAGATTTTAATTTTTGAAAAGGAAAATGTGTTGGTATTGAATCAAACAAACAACATGATAGGTGAAATATTTTTTTTCTACGACCGTGTATTTTTACCCACTTTCCCGCACGCATTTTAGTTTTGAAAGTGTCACTTTCCCGCACTAGTGCGGGAAAGTAAAATTATGAATATTTGGCCTTACCTATTGTATAGTTTTTTTACCTCGGATGTTATAACTATTGTTACAATAGGTAATTTAGTATTTTCCAACTATTCCATTTAATAAAATTTACTTTTTTTTCTTGCTTTTTGTTGTATTTTTAATTTTTGGGAAAACTTGAATAATAGAGATATTTTTATAAACCTTTTGTATATTTTTAAAAGTCAGACTAGGCTGTGACATGTATGGCTTGATATGGTTGCTATATGGTAACCAAGGCGTGTTATTGTTACAAAAACGTCAAAGTTGTTTATTGAAGTGTCAACTGAATTAAAATAAATTAAAGAAATAATGGATTCATCGGATGAAGAGCTGCCCGAAGCCATTTTAAAAGCTGCAAATGAAGCACATTTGAAGGTGTTACCTGCCAAATCACGAGGAAGATATGAAAAACAATACGACCATTTTGTCACATGGTGTAAACAGGAAGGGGTAAAAACCTACAAAGAAGAGGTGTTTCTGTCGTATTTTTCGCACCTAAGTAAGTTTTTGAAATCTAATACTTTATGGTCTCGCTATTCGATGGTGAAAAGTTTAGTATAAATAAAACAAAATTTGGATATAAGCCAGTTCCATAAGTTAACGTCATTTCTAAAACAAAAAAATGTTGGTTTTCGAGCACAGAAGGCGCATGTTTTTACCAAAGAAGATATATCCAGGTTTATGTTAGCCCCTGATGAGGTATACCTTATGATTAAAGTAAGTACCATTTTTGCATTAGCTGGTGCTCTCCGCAGAGCGGAGCTTGTAAATATCACTCTCGATGATATACAAGATAAAGGCAATCTGATAGTTGTGAAAATTTCCGATTCCAAAAATCATTCTTCAAGATCATTTGTTTTATGTGAAGAAATAAATAATGGAAACTTTCTGAAGCTGTACAGAAAGTACGCAGGTTTACGACCACCTACCACTCCGCATTGCCTCTTTTTTATTAATTATAAGAAGGGAAAATGCTCAATTCAGTGCGTTGGCGTAAACACCTTTGGTAAGATGCCAACAGAGATTGCTGCATATTTGCGTCTACCTAATCCTGAACGATATACAGGACACAGTTTTAGACGTTCTTCAGCAACATTCCTAGCAGACTCAGGTGAAGCGATAACCAATATAAAACGTCTCGGTGGCTGGAAGTCCACTACTATCGCTGAAGGCTATTTGGAGGACTCCGAAACACAGAAGAAAAACATTTCGAATAAAATTCTTTCAAATAGAAATGACTTGCAACCTTTGCTGCCACCGTCATTTTCACCTTCATGCGACCTGCAACCGATGTCACTCCCGTCCACGTCATATTTTTAATCTACGAGCGTTACGACTATTAACAGCCAATTAACACCAACTAATTCGTCTGTACCGGCAATTTTACATAATTTACAAAATCCTACAAATTGTGTATTTAACATTAATATCCATAATAATTAGTTGTTTTTATTTAAAGATTTGTATATATTGAAATAAAATAATTTTCCAAAAATAATTTTTCCTACTTTTTTGTATATACGGTCGTAGAAAAAATAATGTTCCTAACTCATGCGTAAAGTGTCTTTCCTGCACTTGACCGCTTGCCCGAACTCCGCTTCGCGTCGTTCGGGCCAACTGCAGTCGCGTGCGGGAAAGTAACACTTTCCGCACTTGTTAGGAAAATAACTATTTTACATTACATTGTTTGACTGTCCCAAATGAACTACGTCTTAAACCACTTTTCAATGCGCATGTATCCGACGTTTTTCTGCTGATCAGTGAGCATACAGAAATATATCTAATCTTTACAAAACACTGTATTCCCAAAGCCCGATAACTTCTACGAAGTACCTTTAAATTGAAATGGCCATTCACTCTCCATTTTTTAAAATTATTTGTCAACTTTCGTATCTAATGTGGACAAACTTTGCCCTAACTCTATTTTTGGAAAATTATTAGTTACAAAAAACACCATAGAATACTAACTTGAAAGGTTCTATGTCGCATCCTAACTTTCTTAAATTATCAACAAATTCTGAATGATAAAACTTCAGCAAACCATCAAATTCTTCTTTCAAAACGTCAGTCTTGACACTTGTTAATATAAAATTGAGAAGATCGCTAGCTGGAGACTGATAGTCATAACATTGAAAATCAACAAACTTGTTACTGACGGGTTTACCATTTTCATATTTCATCATAGCGTTATTAACCCATAGATCGCCATGATGAAACGTAGCAAATGGTTCTCTTGCTTGATATTTTTCTGAATGTGCATATGTGTTCCAAACGTTTCTTGCCTAAAAAATGGATCAAAATGAATTATATGGCGATGGCTAAAGTGTAAAAGCACGTAAGGCGATCCTTGTGATTTATGCGTTTTTGATTAAAGACATTTTTAATCCGCCGCCATTACTAACGTACCTGAGAATCACAACCTTACTAAAGTCGATCTGTGATACCGCAAATATACAATTTTTGGAAATGAAAGGTATCGCACAGTAAACCCTAGTTTTAATTGCCAAAACATTTTTTATAAATTAAAGAGTATTGTTGCTATTTTTTTTTTAATTTGGTGTCATCGGCATCGACTACTAAGGCCATTAGCCTCGTGTTCTGTGTAGGCTTTGTTACTGTTTCCCAGCGCCACTTTAGGAACAGCACTGTTACTTAGAACCCAACAGTGAATGGTCGAGTGGTGAATCCTACCAAGGGCATCAGAATTAATTTTAAACAATTAAATTGATTAAAAAAAAATCCGGCCAACTGTGGGATTCGAAACTGGGACCCTTGGATCCACAGGCACCCATCCCTTTTATTGTTGCTATTATTTGATTTATTGAGCCGTTTGTGTAAAAAAATTCTACAGGGTGTTTCAGTAAACAAAAAGTATAATATGCATAAATTTAAGCAGAGTAACACAAAACTAGAAGCGGTTTTTAAATTGGTTTATTTTTAAGTGACACCTAGTTACATTTCATAAAAACATATTTTAAAATAAATAAAATAAAAATATAAATTCCATTTTAATAATTTTATTGTTTTCATACGTATTAATCTCTATTTTTTGGAACGCTACTGCGATCTGGCTAATCGCCTCTCCGTGGTGCACTATTGTGAGTGAGCCCGAGGGAGCGAGAGGTTTTTGCAAAAGCGACGTCAACACGTCAACAGATTCGTTAAGCAAACAATATGCCTTCTTAAAATCACTTAGATCACGTTATTTTGTTCATCGCACATAATCAAGGAGTGACGTCACAAAGTAGGCGGGGTATACATATCTTTCCAATCATTAATATAGAATAAAGAGTAGATCCTATGACGATAATGAAAGTGTCTTCACTTTTGCATTAACACTTTTACGTCATATGTCAAAGTCGAGCTTCCCTAGCTAGTCAGTTTTGGTGAGAATGAATACCATTTTTTTTTTAATAGTATGATATAAATGATATAAAAACATTTTTATTTTGACAATATTTAAATATAAAATTGTTAACTTCAAATTATTTAAAATACAACTCAAAATATGTTTACTTATCATATCTAAAAAAGTGTTTACATCGTCTCTACTTCATTCTATCTGATTGTGTCACAATGTCTTGTGAACGGGTGCGAACAGCAGCTTTTACAGACATATGTTTTTTCCATTTAGTCTGATTATGTTTTTATAGAAACATTAGAGTTCTGTGACATTGACCAGTAACTTGAAAAGTTATCTTGTCGTCAGGGATGTCTTGCTCCGAGTCAGAGTTGATTTATTGATTTTCCTCCTCGCATACTATAGTTTTATTTATTGTATTTTAGTGGCTACCCCATTAGCGGTGACCACCTAGAGGTATTTTTAACTCCACTGAGTCTACTTTGAGTACATTCTGGTGAACTACAGGGTCAAAGAGCAAACTGCGTTAGCAAAACTGGTGTCTGGGTTACCTTGATTCTGATTTCACCACATCAGCGCCAAATACGACTTCCTCCTTCACAGCAGGTAAAGCAAGAAGCCTGTCATACACACTTAAATAAAAAATAACTGATTTTCAAAATACAGGGTGTTAAAGTTGAAAATTCAAAAATTATTTTTGGGTATATTTTTTATATTTCTTAGTATAATTTTACTAAATTCGGTAAATATTGCAAACATTGTTGGTGTCATAAGATACACCTACAACAAAACAATTAGTTAAATAAACTTTACCAGTGGCATACAACACGGATAAGTAACACTTTCATCTTCTCTAAATTTTACGCCACTGTCCAAAAACTTATTTGGACTATACTTTTACAATTTTTTTTTAATAAATCATATACTCTTATTGGAAATTCATAAAGTGATTGGTTTTCGAGATATTCACCCTCAAAGGTGGATATTCTTTATTTTAATTTATTTTTTAATTTTGAGTTTCAAAAAACTCTCACGATAAGCCATTTCTCTTAAGATTTATGCGGGGTCCTTTACAATTAAACTACCAAAATTGCTTAAAAATTAGGTTCGTTATAAAATAACAGAAAAGCATTTAATCCCTTAATGCCCTCGAAATCAAGTAGATGTCAGACGGTTCGGTGGTTAAGACTAGATATTTTTAATAACTAAATTCAAAACAAATTATACTATTACACAGAACTCCCCACCAGTTATAATTAACAGTGTTGCGAGAGACACCGATGTAATCCCTGTAAATTTTTGAAAAAGCGTAGAAGACAAAAAGATAAATTCGAGTGAGTACATCGACTAGCTTTTTGAATAACAGAGTGGTTAAAGTGAAGACAGAATACACAAAAGACGGATACTATAATTGTTACTGTTGTTAGACCAACATTTATATACGACCCGAAATATATTGGACGGTGAAGAAATTTCGAGCAGAAAATAAACAATATGTGAGAAGTAAAAGAGAAGACACCACTAGAAAAATGATAGGGTTAAATACTGACGAAAGACAAAAGAGTTGCAGGTAAATGAAAATGAAATGTGATACTGGTAGCAGTAGTAAGAAAGAACCGCATGAAAATTGTTGGCTTTTATAAAAATATTTAAATCACCGACCCGGTGTTAGAAAAAGGCGAAATGGCAATAACGATGGTGTTGATATTCATATTCAACAGTAAAACCACAGATTACACAGATGCAAAAGTAGACAAAGAACATCAAGATTTAGAGAGAGATAAATGGCCATATCCATTTAAAGGTCCGTCGTAGCAATTCGTTTTGACTCGCGCATTTCCGAAGGCAAAAGTTGTTTCATTATGTGAATTTGCCGATGCTCCTAGGTTTTCTGATGTTATGTGACATTGGACTTTAAGACAAATGAAAATCTACATACATTTTTTAGTTACCACAGACGTTACATACAAATAACACATAATTAAAACCCGCTCTACATAAAATAATACCAAACCATTTAAAAGTTTATAGTTTACATTTTTTGTTAATGACAATCAATAACACTTTAAAAAAACGTGTGAAATTTTAATTTTGTATGTGACAACCTTTCTTAGGATTCTGTAAATGAAGTGACATTTCAGTAATATTCATTACAATCAGGACCGGTCGTGGCATTTTGCGTTGTGTGCATTTTTGTTAATTATACTTTAAGTTCAGAAGTATCAACCTACCAAACTATTTGTTTTATTAGGTTTGTGGCCACAGGTGATCGAAATGTATTTTCCTGCTAATAGACTGTATGCAATAAGTATTCAAACCTCAATTATTTACAAATAATGTATTGATATACTTGTTAGTGATGGGTTTATACTGTATCTCAACAAACAATGAAATGCTGGGATATTGCTGGCCTTTTGCTGTAACTGAAGGGAAAATGAATAAGACGATTAAAAGATAAAAGCCTACTTTTGTCCTTTCGATAGTGGCCCAGAATAATGTTGATTGATGATGGCCATATGAATGATAAGTAACTGTATTGAGTAAGAGCGAGGTAAATGTAAAAAGGCTTTTAACTGCCACAGACCCAACCCCCCAACAGTACAGGAGGGTTCCGTTTCGCGTTCATAGATGGAGACACCGATGATCACTTGCTACATACTCAACGAATTGATATGAAGCCAATTTTGGATTGCTGGTATTCACTATTCATTTTAACTTCTTACTCATACATGTTGGTAATTTAGAATATTTTATGAATATACATTTTTTAGAAGACATTTTTTCTCTATTGTATAGTATATAGCTGAATTAAATAAAATATCTACAATATTCTAGGTATACTGGAATTCGTTCGGTTTTATATTTATACTTGAAATAGTACTGCTGGTAAAAGAGGTACTATCGAATTGCCTGTCTGGTCATGTGCCTGGCACATGGCTCTTATTCAATGGTAAAAGGCCTGCAATTTCCCGTTAACTTCCCATCAATATGCCATTATTGCCAATATATTTATTTCTACTCATTAAAGGAAAAATGGAGGCCTATTAACTGGATTTGATTGCACGCCTCACAAATTTTTAAAACCTTTACATTATAATTCGTTGCTTCTTATAACTTTTTACCTATAAAATTTTAAAAATAATAATTTAAATCATATTCTTTTTCTTTTAAAATGTTTAAAAATGAAAATACTATCGACAACTTTTTTAACGTACTCGTGCTGCTACTATACATTAAACCATTAATTATATAAATCAACCCTGGCATCCAAAACGCATGTTTAGAAGAAAGTCAGATTTAGTAAGATTGATTGAAAACAATTAAAATTGGCAACACCTATTCCATACCCATTTAAAGTTTAAGGTTGTAGAAATTTCATTTCAAAATACTTTGATCTTTTGCCGGGTTTGGCATTTGTTAGAGTTATTCTATAGTAAAACATCAATATCTCTGTCTAACTTACCCTTGAAATCAATGGACCACACTTATCCGATTCGCACAAAATATCTAGTAGCAAAACATTTGGATCTCCAAATTCACTAATGTTTTTAGGGATCAACTCGTTGTTTAATAAAGGTCTGATTTCTTTTTGAAAAAAGTCAGGTTTTTTCAGTTTTATTGCTAACGGTATTGCGTGCAATGCTGCCAAGTCTTTTAGAAGCACATGTGCTTCTTCTAAATTGTAACCAATATATCTATCAATATTGTTATAACCTAGAAAAATTATTGTATTTAAACAGGTAATTTTTATTAGAGTAGTCAATGTTAGTAATCGGAATATTTCTACCTAAATAGTTCAAATTTTCCATTAAAATTAGAGCATCCCTATCCACAATATCACTTCCATTCATATTTAGTCTGCCTCCATAACATGTGCCAAAACAGTTAATGATATCTTTTAAATTATGTTCCTTTTGAAATTCTTGAAAAGCAGGTACAAGCTTTTCGTAAAATATTATTTCTCCCTTAAATGTACTTTGTACGTTAAACATTTCTTGAGCAAATTCGGCAACTGGAATTTTTTTTGCTACTGCATGTAGTACATCTTGTGATTTTGTTTCTTCGTCTTCAGTTGTAATATTTAACTTTAAAAGCTCACCTCCAAAATTTTCACCAGGCTGCACTAGATTAGTAACCTCAACATTTAAAACTTTTTTTCCTTTAAGGACGTTTTTGGAAAGGATGGAATCTATGCCTTCGACAGACATGACTCAAGTATTATAGTTGTTAATGAAACTAAATCAAAATAAGAATTATAGGGTATAATAATTGATATAATCTAGTTAATTTCATTTTTATCTAATTGAGTACTAGATATTATCTAATTTACGAATAATAAGTAAGAAAGTCCAAAGACCAACTACAACATTCCTGTTAATTTTAATCAGCACTATCATATCACATACTGTCATTGAAATTGTTGTGTTGCAAAATCATCAATTTTGTATCATTTAGTGCTCTCAAAATATTTTTTAATAGAAATAGCAGAAGAGAATTATTAATTCGCAGCAAGAAGAAAAAAAATGTATAATGTAAAAAACAAAAGTAAAAGGAAGCCAAAATATGAAGAGAAGTTAAAAAAGAAGGTAATATTTTTAGCTATGTTTTATGCTCAAAATTGGTTGGTATTTCTAAAATCCAGTAGCTAAGTGATAACTTTTTTTTTCTCTTCCCTCGACAAGAGAAAATAAACATTTTATTTTACTATAAAAATCAAACACTTTACCTGTCGCTAATATTTATTAACATATAGCCAAAGCTTACCATGACAAGTTTACCATGACAACTAGCTGGGAGGCTCCGCGTCGGCACTTTTCATCTGGGGCCTTATTCCTGTTACTATGTGAGTAGGTGAGCACTCTCTTACTATTTGGCGAATCATATAAATGATTAGAGCAGTGTTGCCAGACTACGATAATTATCGTATTTGTACGATATATGTTAAAGTTGAAAATTGCCCAGTTTTTCGGAATTTCTATTTTCCAACTTACGAGCTAGACTATATTTCTGTTGCATACACACATTTAATGCATGTTTTAGGAATATATTATTAAGTACGTATAATTGAAAATATTTTTAATTACAGGGTGATTCAGAAAGATGCGACGGTAGTTTTTGCAAAATCTCACTATTTCTACTGTGAGGTCCGGAAAGCATATTTTCAAAAAGTACTACCTAATATGGTATTTTGGTATATTGCACAGTACACATTTCTTATACAGGGTGTTTTGTAGTGCGAACCACATATAATTATTTTTTTAAGGACTAATTCAAAAATCTGTACCTACTTATTAATTGATTTTTGGGAAAGTTAATATCACTAAAATATGTCGTTGGGTTGGTTGGAGTTATTCGTACTAAAGACATCTAAAGCACATATTCTTTTACCTGAAAGTCTATTACTAGTGATTTTATAAATATTACCGCTAGAGGGCAGTTGCGTCGGTTTTCTTCTTAGCTATATTGCAGGTGTTGTTTTCTTCAACACAGTCTTATCAGTAAATGTTTGTCAGTGCTGGTGTAATGTTGTCCTTGATTTTATAAAATTATTTTGTGTTGATAGAAACAGTTTACAACTTTATTTTCATAATACCATCTTATTTGTGTAAATAAAAATTTTCTTTGGTGTATTCAGTCATAAATTTTATTTTATATCGTTAGCACCGAACTGTATATGTTTCGGAAAACTTTGTTTCCATCTTCGGGTGCAAAAACACATGGGGACTATTGCAAACAGTTTAAAATTTCTAAAATTTTTAAAATACCAGAAACTCCATCTATTTGTTTCTTTTTGTCTTATTTGTGGTTATTGTACTTGTGACATTCTATTGCAGAACAGTGTATTATTTCAAGTTGTGAGTCTGTTTAATAAAATTCTAAGTACAATAACTGTATAATATTTTGTGAAAGCGTGTATCATTTTGAATTGCTAAAATGTTTTAGAAAAATATATAAATACGAGAATGCTAATTTATGTACTTATGGTACTATTCCACAAAATACTTTGGTTAAAATATTTCAACTTATTAGGCTCGTTAACCAAATTCAGGAAGTTCAGATTTAAACATTTTGTTTTGTTGTTACAAAGCAAGGTCGAAAGCAGAAAATAAGTCAGCCGCCTGGAATTATTAGGGAAAAGCTTGAGTTTGTTCTGTTTGTTCTTGAAGTTGTAAAAAACAATTCCCTAATTTTAGATGCTAATCAGTCATTTATTTTAACTTTTCCTTAATTACACATTACACATATCCATTTCGACTTCGAAATTTTGATTGATTTTCACCTTTTGGAGGTACTTGAGTCCGGAAAACCTGTTTTCGAAATATGTATGCCTGTGTGAATGAAAAACATTTCTTTTACGATTTTGAAAAAACGGTTCCATGGATTTCCACGAAATTTTCAGCAAAAATCGGAAATGAAAAATATAGAACCGTATAATTTTTGGAAGAAATCGGAACGTAGAAAGGGAATTTTTGTAGCGTTTACGAATTTCAAAAATCATAAAAAAGAAAAACATACCTATTCAAACAAAACTTTGCAAAAATATTAAGTAACTTTTTTATCTATTCTAGGTAATGAGTTGAGGGAAAATTCTCCTCCAACTTGCTGCCGAAGCAAGAAAGGTAAATGCTGAAGAAAATGATAAGATAAATTAATTATTATTGTATAAAATTAAGCTGATTCACTATTATGAGTCATATCAATAGTTGATTCCTCATAGGAAACACGATACATTTGCCAAATTTCCTGTTGCAGGTCCGCCATCAAAGTCTTGTGAAGAAATACGTCAAAATCATCAAGTGCCTTCAACAGAGGTGCCATCAACAGAGGTACCATCAACAAAGGTGCCTTCAACAGAGGTGCGTTTAACGGAGGTGCCATCAACAGAGGTACCATCAACAGAGGTGCCATCAACAGCGAAGATAACTTGGCAACTGGTAATAAAAATTAATAATTTAAATAAACTAAGTGTAATAGAGTTGATTCCTGATGCAGGTCAGCCATAAAAGTCTTGTGAAAAAACAAATCTAAACCTTATTCAACAAAATCAAGTGCCTTTAACAGACGTGCCTCCAGCAGAGATGCCTTTTCCGAAATCCGAAATTATCAACCTCTTCCACAAGTGGCAGCGAAGACAACTCAGCAACTGGTAATAAGATTTAATGAATAAAATAAACTAAATGTAATAGATGATTATTCAATTGAAATAATCTTTTTGTTTATTAGGTTTTAATCTTTTTTAAACCTATTTGGTTTCAGACTTTGATAGTGATGACAGTAATGCTGACACTACTTTTAAGATTCAAGAAGAGAATTCCAACAAAAGTAATGAGAACGAAATAGAAGAAGACTCTGAGACCGAGACTGTTGATCTTAATATACCTACAACCAGCGCCGAAGAGAAAAAGAAGCGAGGCAGAAAGAGGGTTTGTCATAAAGAAAACTGAAAGAAGAATGTGTCGAAATGGTTGAGAAACTCTGAAAAAGCTTATGAAATGAACTCAAAAACCAAGGATAAGGCTAGACCGCGTCAATTGCAACCACCTTGTACAGAAAAGTGCAAACAAAAATGTACTCTTAAAATAAATGAAGAAGACAGACTAGATCTATTTAAAAAATATAAGGCCCTGGGAGACTTAATAAAACAGAGGCAATGCGACTGATGCAGTTAAACCCAAATACAGATACGTAAGAGAAGGGAGCCACAGAGACACAAATAATGCGTACTACTTTACTATCAGAGACAAAAAAATAAGGGTGTGTAAAGTGTTTTTTAGAAATACTGTAGACATTAATGATAGCGTTATAATAACAGTTACGAAAACAAAAGAAACAAAGTCAAGGTGCTTCGACTAAAGACCTTATACATTATAAGCACTTCAAAATTGACGAAAATATAAAAAAACAAGTTTGCAACTTCATTGAAAAATACACAAAAGTCGAAAGTCATTATCGGAGTCCGAGCGAAATTATGTGGAAGGGAATAAATTCATTGCTGACTTGCATAGAGAGTTTGAAGATCAATGTAAAAATAACAACTTTCCTTCCTGTAAATACGGAATTTTTTATAAGATTTTCAAAGAGAAGTTCAATATTCATCCATTTATTCCAAAAAATGATTAGTTCATTGTTGTCCTGGCAGTATACGATGTGTTTCAATGCCCTAAAGGAAATGCTTCAATATTTTTTTTACAAATCAAAATTGAATGTTTTTAATTTTAGCATTTACAATATGTTTACAAAAAATGCCACTTGTTTTATCTGGCATGAGGGGCTCGGCACAACTGTCCGGGTCAACAAAAAAATCAGTACATGTTTGGCATGTCCCTGTATGATGTACAGAACTTGAACATTTCGTTAATTACGCATACGTATTTAATTCAAGGATATACTTAAAATGAGGGTGATTCTGTCCACTCCACAATAAAGAAAGAGATTAAAAAACAACTAAGAAGCGGACCAATGTACAATTCCGACGCACTGATTTTTAGCATTCACGCAGCTAAAAAAAAGGGCGATTCTTATAAAGTAGTGGAAATGTTTTGGGATAATTTTATTGACCTTCTGACTTAAACAATCAAATGAGATTTTAGCTTAGGTCTTTAGATGGTAACCAGTCAATTAAAATTACAGGTATAAAAGTTGTTAAGGAGAAGAAGAATTCTCCCTCATCACTGTTCGTAAAAATTTCATACCAAGACCAACAGTTTCAAGAATGTCTCATCACTCGAAATTCTTCACGAAGTTCTTCAAGTGCTTCATGTAAAAACATTGTCATGAAAAGAGCATTCACTGTGAAACCAGGAATTCCTATCCATAAAAAAAGACTTGTTAGAGTTAATAAAATCCAATGCGATTCCTCGCTACTATTCAGAATTTTATATCAACTTGTAAATAAATTTTTAATAAAACTTTGCTGCATGAATAATGTTGTGTATCACAGCTTATTTTACCGAAATCACTCCTATCTTACTGGAATAATGTAACAACTCAAAACTGAAGGGTTTAGTAATTAAATTTAACACAATAGGGCCACTTAGTTACTAACTAAGGTGGCCTCCGTTGGCCATTTAGGGAGCTATATAATATATTAGTTAAAAGAAGCAAGATCAATTCCATTTAATTATCCAAAAATCTAGTAAATTGGCATAATAGTAAAAAAAATTTAAACTGACTTTTCTCAAAACAATAATATGTTGAGATGTGACACTATTCCACCAAACCGACGATGTGTACTTCTAAGCTTTAAAATGT